TTATTTCATGAAATTCTTCTGTGTCAGCCAATTCCTTCTGGTACAGTGACTCTGTATACTTCTTCCATCTTCTTTTAATGCTTCTTGGATCATTTAACACTCTACCAAAAGCATCCTTAAGTATTGCCGGTTGTGGCTTGAATTTGTTTTTCAACTCCTTCAGCTTAAGAAATGCTGAGTAAGTTCAGCCCTATATAACAGTCCCAATTAATCCCCCTGCTCAGTACTTCAGGGAGCTCTGGTGACTTATTGTTGCGATTTTGTACCTTTGGGTCAGAAGCAATCCTTAGCTGACCCTCCAGTGGGTTTTCAGAGTCAATAAATCACTTGGGAGGAGATTGCTCATCTTTCTCCCACAGAACAGTTGATGGATTCAAACCATGTACCTTTGCCTTGACAGTGCAGCTCCTTACCACTAAGTCACCAGAGATCCATATGGTGGCTTAGTAGAAGGAATTGCATGGCCAGCCTAGAGACATACTGTCCGAATCCCACAACTGTTCTATGGAAGAAAGATGGGAAATCTAATATGGTATATTTCCTCTGAAAACCCACAGGAGGGTCAGTTATGAGTTGGTTCTGACTTAAAGGTTTTTAACAACAGCTTGGTACTTCAGTCTCACCACATTAAGGATTTGGTTAGGTCCCTCTCCAAAGTTCATTCGCTGATCTCCCACAGATGTAGAGCAAGGTTCTATCACTACACAAACTCTAGCAGCAGCTCTAGTTCTTATTTGAGCACTTTTGTTTATGTTTATTCCCTTGGAAATGACTATGCTATCACTATTTGGTTCACTGGCTGTACAAGTCCAGTTCATCAGAGCTATGCAGAAGAACCCACTAATTCATGCAGGGCACTGCAAGTTAGCCCTTTCCTAAAACTAGCTTAAACACTGGTCCTTAATCTCCAGAAATAAGAAAAATAGACTAATAGAAGAGATGAGACTCCTCATCCAGACATATGTGCCTGCCTTTCACCTTTCACTGCTTAGCAAACATACGGTTTATGTGGGAGAGATCTCAGGTGGGCTATGGGGAAAGCACTGTAAGAGAAGGTCATGTAAGACTGGCCATGCTCGTTCTTCACTTTGGCAGGCACACTGAAAGTGGTAGGTCAATGTGAAGAACACAAATCAGAGATGTTTGAAAATGCAAGCAGTCAGAGGTATCCAAAAGTAAGAAAGAGATGGTAAGTTTAGACACCACATTAAGCCAAAACAATTGAAACTGCCAATAACAGATCAAAAAATAACATCAAACGGGGGGGCGGGGAGGGGTTGGTGCGGGGAGAAGGGTGCAACAATGAATGAATGGAATTCCAAAATCTCTGTAGATGTTCATTGAAATGAAAAATAAACAAACTAAATTAATAAAAATTAAAAAAAACAACAGAAAAAAAACATCATAGCGTTCAAGCAAAGAAGCTTGTTAGGATTTCACTTGTGATGTTCCTCAACAAATAAAAAAAACATATAACCACACTGATTATTCATTTATTTAATCATCCACTTAGTAATTTTTTAGTTTCTCGAGTGGGTCAAGTGAGCTCTCATGGCTTAGGTTTAAGGAGTTATGTTGCCGACTTAAAGGTGGGCAGTTCGTATCCACCAGTTAGTTAATGGGAGAAAGGTGGACAACTCCTCCCACGATGTACAGTCTCTGAAAACCTGTTGGAGGGTCAACTATGAGTTGGTTCTGATTCAACAGCAGTGAGGAGAAATAGTAATATGGGCCAAAGGAGCCCTGGTGGTGTAGTCTGTAAGAAGTGGCACTGCTAATCCAAAGGTTTTACAATGGCAGATGCAGAGGCAGGAAGGAATAAAAAGATATTAAAGGATCAATTTATATAATGTTAAATTTGAGATGTCAGGGTCTTATACCTTCTTTGTAATTTTGCTTTATAATATTTATGTACTCTCAAACAATTGCATGTGTTATTATGTATTGTTGTTGTTGTTGTCGTCATTACGTGCCATTGAATTGAGCATGACTTATAGAGACAAAAGACCTGAACCCTGTTCAATAGCTATTGTAATTTCTCTACGTTCATAGAGTTTCCAGAGGCATGTGGTTTAGGCCGTGGATGCCACTCCTGCTTCCAAACCTGAATCAATCTGGGAGCTCCACCAAATACTGTTCATGATAGGTAACCCTTATGGCATTTGACACACTAGGTACGCAGTGTTCGGCATCACAACAACCCCAAGTTACTTCAGTACAGCAAACTGACAGGCTAGTGCTGTACCATTTAGAATAATGTTTATCCCAAACACAAGTAACAGCACTTTACACATGAGCCTCCAAACTGGAGACTTGGTCAGGCTCAATCACGTTTTATTTATATTTTTTAATTTTATACTGATTTATTTACAAAGTTCGAATACTTTGTTTCTCCCACAAGATCCTTCCCATTTCCTTCACCTCCCCACCCACCAAATTATGCAACTCTATGATTAACACCCCATCCCCTGTCCAACCTAACCCCTCTGCTTCCAACCTCTCCCCCCTTAGATACTCATACTCATTCAACAGTAACGTTTTTGTATGTTATTTGTCTTTGTGGGACTCAGTTCACTCAACATAATGTTCTCCAGTCCCTCCCAAGTTAGGTAATAATTTACAAAAATCATTCCTCCTGCGTGCTGCTTAATATTCTATTGTATGAATATACCACAACTTCTCAATCCATTCATTTGTGGTTGGATATCTGGGCATTTCCATGTTTTTGCAATGGTGAATAATGTTGCTGTGAACATTGGTGTGCGAGTCTCTGTTTGTGCCTCAGTTCTCATTTTCTCAGGGTATATTCCAAGCAATGGAATAGCTGAGTCATATGGAATTTCTATGTTCAGCTTTTTTTAGGAAGTGCCAGACTGACTTCCAGAGTAGTTGTACCATTTTACAATCCCACCAACAATCCCAACCACCTTTTAAATACAAGGCCTGCCCACCAGGTCCTGGTTGACTCTAAACCAAGAGGCTTCCTGCCCACAGCTCGTTGTTTTCTAAAGCTGGCAAATCAAATCAGCTCACATCTGATTAGATTGTGAAACGGGGTGGGGATGGGTGAACCAACAAAACAACAAAATAGTCCATATCTGACCCTCATCAAGACAAGAGAAATCATCTTTCAGAATCCAACCACTTCAGAGACGAGCCTCCGGTACTCTTTATCAATAACTTTATTTTCATGCTAGCCCATATAGTAACATACTCTTTCTCAAAGAAATAGGAATCACAGCAAAGGGCTGTGAAAAGAGTAAGAATAAGTAAAATATGATCTGTCTCACTTTGCATGTTAGATAAAGAATTTTGAAACCTTTACATTATAACTAAAACAAAACTGAAAACTCTGTCTTTTGTTCAATTGCTGATTTCACTTCCAAAGGCAATTTTTTTCATACTATGAAAATGAGAAAGCAGTGATTTCACTTTATCCACATGTACATGAGGATAAATTTGACTTATTTCTAATTTTTCTGAATTCACAAGCTTATATCTGGTGTTCAGTGATGCAAGACTATAATTTGCTACTTTGGCTTTCTCTTCATTTTCTAAAGTTCAGCTTATTTGATTCCTTGACGTCAGAACAAAAGTATCTAGAGTCCTCTAAGTGTTTCATAGAATCCCAGGGAAGCTCAGGTCCAAGCCCCGGGCACTCGGAGCATAGCTTATGCTGACCTCAGGCATTTCGGTGGGTCAGAAACAAATGGATTTGTATGACAGAAATACAGTTATGTGCATGCTGCTATTTCTATGATTGAACTGGCTTTATTCTGGAATTTGATCAGACCTATTTCTGGCCTCAAAGGCCTTTAAAACAATAAAAAAGATATTGGGTTTTAATTGTTGCTGTTATGTGCCATCGAGTCACTTGTGACTCATAGTGTCCCTGTGTACAAGAGTCCTAAACCCTGCTCTATCCTGTTCCAACCTTATTGTCTCTGACACACCTACACCCATTACCCCAGTCACGGAATTGATCCATCTCATTGAGGGTCTTCCTCTTTTGTGCTGTCCCTCCACTGGCCCAAACATGATGTCCCTCTTTAAAGACTGATCCCTTCTTATAAACTGTCCAAAGTATGTCAGGTGAAACTTCAGAATCCTTGCCTCCAAGGAGCAGTCTGATTTCACTCTTCCCAGGACAAACCTGTTTGTTCTTCTAGAAGTCCATAGTAAATCCAACACTGTTCTCCAGTACTACAGCTCAAAGGTCTCAATTCCCCCCCCCATCATCCTTAGTCATTGTCCAGCTCTCTGATGCATAGCAAGCAATTACGAAGACTATGGCCTGGATCAGG